GAAAATCGTACAATGACTTCCTCGCCCTGGATGGGGCGTGAGAAAGTGTCAGACTCTGACTAAAAACTATTATAAACTCTTTCCTTCTTCTAGAATACCACGTTATTTTCTAATGTTCCTGGTGCATATGTCAAAGAAAAATAAATGACCAATTTGGTATAGCAGTTAAGAATACTGCCTGACATAAATTGAATTTTTCACTACAGCTTAACACATTCAGTGCCCCCGACGCGTATGTGCGTTTCCTTACGCTACTCTGTGTGCCCTCGACGCACCTGTGCGTTCAATACATTAATGTATAGAACGCACAGGTGCGTCGAGGGCACACAGAGTACGCGTCGGGGGCACTGGATGTGTTAAGATAAATTGTCAAGGAGGAGATGACAAAGTCTCGGGTCCTGCAATGCTATGCAATAAAATACAAGGAATTTCATGAAAACGTCTTTATTTTCAAATGAAAATGAGAAAACGAAATCGTTTTTACAGTAAAATTAACTTTTATGTTTCTCATTAGGTACCCTATTCGGTAAACAGCAAAAAAATAACCTCAAAATTTATATTTCAAATAAAACGTTAGGTCTCAGAATACAGAACAAACCAGAATCCGCGTTCACTCATAATTACATGTCGTCAAATGTGTCCAAAAACAATACGTCACTACCCCCGCCAGCCGCACTTCCCACCCGCGTAGTGTTGCCGACAGTGGAACAATTCCCTTGGTTTGGGGTAATTTTACAAAAGGAGGGTAAGATCTATTTTTTTGGGGAAACCCAAAAAAAGGGTAAACTTACGATAAATGGAACAGACTACTTGTTTACACATTTCATGCAGGTATCATTATATGCCTAATATAAAAGTTGACGATTACTGGCTGAGTCAATTTTAGTTACACCTACTAAAACAAAGCTTCAATAAGTACAAAGGTTTTATTGCGTTCTCTTTTGTGATTTAGTTTTTTATAATTGTAAGTATTGTCTTTTACACCCGGTTTCTAAAAGGCTTGTCAACGCTAAAATTAACTAATCTCCTGTTAAATCTCTTGTCAAGTCATCTGATTGGTTGTTGATAATTCATGCCCGGTTCCTATAATTGAGAAACGATCCGTTTTAGTTATGAATAGTAGTTTTATATACGACTCGTAAGCTAAAACCGTTCCTATAACAAACGTCTCGTCGTGCAACTTACTGACGGTTTGTAACTAACGGATGTCGGTAAGCGAATTGTAAGGAGATCTATGGTGTCTGTGGTGTTCCTATAAATATTTTAACCGTCAGTAGACGGTCAAGATAACTATTCGTAATGTCATTTGGTCGTAATGCGTATACAACGACGATTCGTTAAATATAGGAACCGGGCATCAGTCAACCAATCAGATGACTTGACAAGAGATTAAATTGATTTTAACATTGATCGGCCGACTCGGAACTGATTAGAAGTTAACTTACTTTACTTAGTTCCTGAGATTAACGCGTTGCAAGCAAAGAAACAAACTCTTCAGCATTATAATCAGTATAGTTAGTAGGAGTTGCTGTTTTTCAGTCTTTTTAAACCACCTTTTACATAAATAAATTGCTCTTCAAAGTCAATTGATTATTTACAAAACTCACCTAACCGTGCTCTTTGTATGATTTTTAGCCATTTTCATTTTCTTTGTTCGACAATGAAACTAATATGACAAAGGTTCCATAATGGCCAAAAATATAACTCACAACAAATAAGTCAGGGTAAGAGGGAACACTAGAGTCCGCTTTGGGTTCTAAACGTTGGACCCGACGACGAGGCGATGTCATCACAGAGGGCACCGGTATCGGCTTAATTTAGTCTATTATATATACAAGTAACAAGTCAATAGTATAAAAGAAAGTCGTGTTAGTTACACCACTTATAACTCAAGAACGGATGAACCGATTTAGCTGAAAATTTGCAGGGAGGTAGTTTAGAGCCAGGAGAAGGACATAGGATAGAGTAGGTTAGGTAGAGTAGGGTAGGTAGAGTAGGGTAAGTAGAGTAGGTTAGGTAGAGTAGGGTAGGTAGAGTAGGGTATGAAGAGTAGGGTAGGTAGAGTAGGGTAAGTAGAGTAGGTTAGGTAGAGTAGGGTAGGTAGAGTAGGGTAGGTAGAGTAGGGTATGAAGAGTAGGGTAGGTAGAGTAGGGTAGGAATAGTAGGGTAGGTAAAGTAGGTTAGGTAGGGTAAGTAGAGTAGGGTAGGTAGTCAAATGACGGGAGCGACGCCGCGGGTAAGAGCTAGTATATAATAAATAATTAAGAATAGGTACTAAAAAGAAATTAAGGTAAGATTTTTTTTTAATTAATTTTTATAACAATATTTGATCTAAAAAATTACAGTCTCATTTTTAAATCTTATAAATGCACCTTTTACGTTTAAATAGTGCAAAATTATCTCTCTACATGCCTAGAGCGAACCTGAACACAGCGCCCTCTATGCCTAGAGGGCGCTGTGTTCGTTTTAAGGCGTATAAATAAAAGGGTCTTACATAAATATGAATTATGAGGTTATTGATCAGTCAGTGTAGTCCTGGACAATGGCTGAATATTATTAAATCTTAGTAGAAAAATTTAAAGTACTCCCAGATATTGAACCTAATACTTCTATAATATTATCAATTTTTGCCAAAAACACAGCAGTCCAAGCAAATCCGTAACATGTCAAATTGTCGGCACATATAGCAGAAATGTTCAAATTAATCTTTACATTATAACAGATAAAATTTTGAGCAGATACTTGGTTAAGGAATCTCTATACATACAGGGTGTAAGGGACAGCCCTCCACAAATTAACAGGGTGCATTCAGCTCCTTATTCTGAATCATATTCCAGTGAAAATTCTTTCAGGAAAATTTTCAATTTTTTTTTCGTTTTTTCAGTTCCTACACCTCTATTTCAATGTATAATTACATTCTATGTATGAAGAATAACATTAATGTAAATAACACAGCTAAAACAAAAAAATACGCAATGGTTGTGTGAATTCTCTAAAGAACTACGCATGAAATCAGCTGTTCAATTTCTACCTAGCGCGAGTCGTTTGAACTCACCGCACCGCGGTCACGGCGCAGCGGCTCGGCGCCCCACCGCGCCGATCGCCGCGCCGCCGTAGGTATACCTACGATCCCGTCCAACGTACAGAATAGCTGCGTCCCTTTCTGTCGATTGAACCAGTGTTGCCAACTTTTAACTTTTGTTACCTCTTCTACCTTTCTACCTTTGTAAACGAAAATGTTAGAACTATCGAAATTTATCTAAAACTTGAGGACTCCTTTGCATTCATAATCACATTGATGAGATTTTCATTAATCAATTAATGAAAATCTTGTCGCGCACATAAATTGAATAAAAAATAAATAAAGATTAGTCTAGTTTTAATTTTAAAGCATTTACAAATACTACCTAATTTATTAATTGATTGTTCTTTTTAAGCGATTACTGGCTAGTTTTTAAACTACTTACAGATTTACATGGCTTCACAATAGCCATGAATTGATAGTCGAGCCAGAAATTAAACACAATCTCCCTGGAATGGAAGCACAGCTTTCTATCACACTGCACTTTTATTATTCTAAATTAACTAAACAATGAAATTAGAATTAAATTGATTTAATCAATTAATTTCTCTACAAAAAATAACAGAATGATAAATTACGACCATGCATAATTTTTAATTTTTTACCCCGAAATTTTGTACCTAATTTTCGTGTAATTGGCAACAACAGATTTATGTTTGTGTGTGTCTCATCACATGCAGTCGCCATTGTGCCTTGCTGCGATGTTACTGTTTATGTTCCGCGAGCGTGTGTTGGTACGGATCGCTCGCGCATTCGGCTTAAAAGTTTTGTTATAAGTAGTGTTGTTAAGTTTTATTAGTTATGTAGTGTGTGAAGTGTAGTGAAGTTTTGTTGTAGAAATTGTGCGAAATTACTACCTAGGTACGTTTTGCGCGCGTGATTATGGGGAGATGATAATGTGTTGTAGTAGTGTAGGTATCCTGACCGTCGGCATCCATCAGACTCCAGGATAATTACTGGTGACTATCAACGCTTGCTAGAAAACCAGCCCATTGTTCCCAGACAAAAAGGCGCCGAAAGACCAATACCTACGTGGATTTTGGAATTGGTTCGCTAACGTAACGAGACGCTACCACTTACCAGTGCTTTCCTATTTAAACGTAGTTTAGGTAGGTTTGGACCGCAACCGTGGCCAGCACGATCCCCAGACGTAACCCATTTGGACCCCTTTTTGTACGTAAAAGAAAAAGTGTTTGTGAGTGCGTGTGCAAGTGAGTACGAAATGCGAGACCGCATCACAAATGCTTTCCAGAGCCGGAAACCGGAGCGATTCTAAGGTACCTACGCATTTTTCTTTTTTTATCATTTATCAGTTACCATGTTATGATTGTTAGATTTTCTTTTGTTAGTAATGCGGCTATCTTTTAAATAATAATTTATTGTTATTAAAACGTGGCGCGAGCGCGATTATTAAATTGTATTTTGTAAGTAATGCGGCTATCTTGTAAATAATTAGTTATTGTTATTAAAACGTGGCGCGAGCGCGACCGTTTGTCCGAAAGGTAAGGTCGCGGCGCTGCCCATAGTGTAAAGTAATAATACTAAAAGCGCTGCCGTTCGCTGCGTGCGTTTGCGGTGGTAGCGATACATTGCGTGTAAGGTAATGAAACAAATCGGTTTAATTGGATTCCCATAACGTTCCTGAAATAATTTCATGTACCAGTCAACTTAAGACGATATACTGAATCCACCCTATCAGTTTGCGGAAGGCTGTCCCTTACACCCTGTATATGATTATAAAGATTAGAAGTCCAAACGAATTCTGGTTTGATATTTCTGTGCTCGTAAAAAACAAAAAAAACCTTGCCATAAACATCAAGGTCGGTGCCATAAAGGCCCCAAATAAAATACAATTCTTTCTCAATGTCAGAAAATACATAAAAATATTCCAAAATCTGGTCTAGATACTCCTAATGGCTTAGAGACTTTTAGCTAGTGCTTCAGACTTCGCTATAACGTCTTCAATGGTTCCGACCATGTAGAATGCGGCTTCGGGAATATGGTCCATTTCTCCAACAAGAATCTGTAATAAAATATTGTCTGGAGTCAACGCCGCCCTCGAAAACCTAATGAACCGGAGACGGCACAAGTGCGTTTATTTTATGGTACAGTTTTTGCACCCAAGTCTTTTGACGAAGGAATTCGACTAATTTCAAGCCACATTAGGGGCTTATAAGTGACATACTACGCGGCGAGCGTCAGGCTGTGAAATACCCGTAAGTATCTTTTGTTTACGGCTGATTTTTCAACGGTACCTGGGGAATAATTATGTTGCTGTCATGTCAGAATGTTTATTTTTTAATTGTATAAGACAGTGACAGCAACAATTTTATTCCTTAGATAACGATTATCTGACTATTGAAAAAAAACCCTTAAAAAAGAAGAGTAAATATTATTTCTCAGATTGGTAGATATCTGATGTGTAGCTGGCGGTCTTTTGATGTGAAGAGCTCTAAATAGAGCTTAATGGCATAGAGCATGCAGTTTTTGTTATAAGTTTGAGCGTTAATCACAACGGTTGCCCACGACGAATTGGTAATTTCAAACCTACAATCAGAAAGTCCACATTTCACTGTTTTCTTTCACCCATTTCACTCAAGACACCAAAAGAGTAACAAAACCACACTTCGCCATTTGTTCATCCAATCAACTAGGGTCTTTGAATATGGTGGTAATAGCTAACTTACCCTTTTGAAACCTTTGATAGTTTGCTCCAATTTCACCAGCTTTCCAATATGGCCGGTGAACACTTCAGCTACCTGTGCAACCAAGGGATATTGTGAATAGCGATTTTTCTTACGTCTGATAGAAGGGAACAAAAGAAGCCATGGCTCCGATGGACCTGAAGTCACTTTGTATGAAGGTTTTTTTATGTTTTAGGCCGGCGAACGAGCAGACGGGTTACCTGATGGTAAGCAATCAGCGCCGCCCATGGACACCCACAACGGATGAGTTAGGTACGAGTGCGTTGCCGACCTTTTAGGGATTAGGGATTGGGGGAGGGGAAGGATTGGGCCTCCGGTAACCTCACTCACACGGCGAAACACAACGCTGTGGCTATTTCACGCCGGTTTTCTGTGAGGCCGTGGTATCACTCCGGTCGAGCCGACCCATTCGTGCCAAAGCACAGCTCTCCCACACTTAAACTTAAAAAAAATAAATATGAAATGACAAGGGTCGTAGTTTGTTTATTTTTTTAAAAAGTGTATTTTAAGAGATAGGAGAACTGATGGTAAGCAATCCTCGCCGTCCGTGGACTGGACACCCGCAACAGCAAAGGAGTTACGCGTGCGTTGCCGGCCCTTTAGGATCAGGGTTTCGGATATTTAAGGATTGGGAAGTCATGGGCCTCTGGTAACCTCACTCACGGAGAGAAACAACAGTCGTGTTGTTTCGCACCGGTTTTCTGGCAGGCCGTGGTATGACTTTGGTCGAGCCGACCCATTAGTCACGAAGCTTGGCTCTCCCACAACTTCTTTTAAGTGATAGAAAAGAAAACGAGCTGATGGGAAGCAATCAACGCTGGCCTGATTCGGGGACCTTTTGGGGTGTTCGATTGTCCAGGCCTTCTGAAATCACACTTACACACCGAAAACATTTTATTCACAAAACCCCTAGGGAATTGAAAACGATATATGGTCACCTGGAAGGGTTGTGACAGGAACCGCTGTATCTTCCGAGCTCGTGCCACTGTCAGCTTGTCATCTTCTGACAACTCGTCCATGCCCAGGATAGCGATGATGTCTTGCAGGGATTTGTAATCCTGTAACAGGAATAAAATCCTCCCCGTAATCCTGGTAATATTGGTATATTACCGGTACCAGGGTGGCCTCGAGGATAAAGCCCAAAATCTTGAGTAGAAGAACATTTTATCAAATTCAAGATAATATTGCTCGTGTGCAACTTTGGCATCACTCCCAGCTTAATTTTCTGTGTCTTGGATGTATATAATCCGTACGTGTCACAGATTCGAATACTCCGAATAATAATTTTTGAATCACAAAAATAGTATTTTCTTTTGGAAATGAAATCCATAATTCCATAAACGTCCGGCGATAGCCATTTTTATTAACCAAAACACCGGACAGCCTGCAAATAGTCCATAGCTGCCCATTATGCCGACTGGGAAATTAACACAGCATCCTTTAACTATTATAGTGGGACATACAATTTTTGTTTGAAAATTCTTCTAGATAGTACAAAATTTTTCTATAGTTCGTTCCATAATTAGAGACAACGATTTGACATTTCGAGTGCTGCAAGTTTTTTCCATTTCATAAATAGTAAAGTCCCGCGACCGATATTGACCGAAAGACCGAAATTAAATTCTGGACTTCGTGCAATTTAAAAGCTTTATTATTTTTAGCTACTTTCCCTGGTACCTTCCTGCGCCCATACTAACTCAGTCGTGTTAAAATCACAAAGGAGGCAACCGTAAATTAGTGACCCCCCTTTTAGCAGCCATCAGCCCACGATGTATTGTCCATAATTACTCTTCTCTTTCCGGGAAATCTCCAACAGCTCTGCTTTCAGCATAGGTTCCTCAAATATAATGTTTTTCTTTTAGCCAGTCTTGGATTTCGCATTTTTATTTTAAATTATTATTATTAATTCGACTTAACTATAAAAACATCACCGCAACTGTTTTATTTTGCTCAGGGTATTTTATAAAAAAACGGTATCGGTATTTTATTTAAAACATCGTACTCGGGCCCATCACTATGTTAAAAAATCTGGCCACATTATTTTGTAGTTTGACATTTGCTTTTGTCAAATTGTTGTCTCTAATTATGGAACGAACTATAGTTTCAAGTCACAGCAAGGCTCTTATCAATGAGACGTGAGAGTGCGCGACGTGAGTACCCAAGTAGCACACTTCAGCCGCCTTAAATCTATTTATGCTATAGGAGTACTAATCATGGCTATTTTATAGACATTGGCATTCTATACAGGGTTTTAGATAAGAACTAAAATTCTAATAGAATAAAATATCTAGTGTCCCTTGTTTTAAAACCTTTATTAGTTCAATACACTGAGTTAAGAGCAAATTGATTTGTTATGGACTATATTCGCACTGTTAAAAGCGCTGCTGTAGATCAATTATTCTATAGACTTATTATCACAAATACTTTTTGAGAATTGCGATTATTTGTAGACCAATTACTCTATAAATAATCAAAAAGGTCTTTATATGGATTTGTTAGGCACTTTTTTAAGTCCATACTTAATAGAATCAATGACTAGATACTCTATAGTGTATACTCTAGTGAAACGCCGGCTTCCTCTTTCATTAGAGAATTTACGTTAAAAACATTTTATTTTAAGTGTATTGAGTATATAAAGGACAGCGTTCTGCAAGCATGAAGAAAGCAAAACATATTAGGAAAACAGGAGGCTTTCGGAGAAAAGTGGAAAAGTATAAAAAAGGTATTTACGCGGGTATTAACGCAGAAAATTATAATTTGAATACCTTGGTAGGCTTGACGTTTCGACCCGGTTGTGCAACCGGGTATTTTAATGTTTTAATTTTTGTTATTGTAATTTTAATAACCGCGAGATTAGATGGGTCCTTATCGAACTGGGTATACCGAAAGCCAACTCATACTGATCGGTACCTACATGCAAAGTCACATCACCACCCCCGAAATCATAAGCAATCATATTACAATTAAAATTCGGGCCATAATTTGTGACTCACCAGCTCGTGCATTTATTAAAGGTATTGCTAACTTCAACAGTCAGAATGGGTGTCCAAAATGTACATCGATTGGAGAGTATTCATATTAGTCGCATTGCAGGTGGAGATGTCCCTTAAGACCGATGAGGGGTTCCGAAATAAGACATACGGATCACACCATAAAATGGATAGTGCTCTTTTGCTATTACCTATTGATATGGTATTAGATATCCCAGTTGCAGACTCTCTACATTTAATCGATCTTGGGATAATGAAGCGGTGTTTAATGGGATGGCGCAACGGCTCTTTCAGTAACTACAAGACCAAATGGCGAGCTTCTGATATCATAGCCATAACGCAGTTGTTAGTGCAATCCAAATTACCGAAAGAAATTCATCGTGCAGTAGGAGGTCTTGACCCAATTTCTTTTTGGAAAGCATCCGAATTTAGAACAGGTGCGGAAATAGATTCAATATTTATTTTGCAAAAGCGGGCTATCCGAGCGATATATAACTTGTCCCCTCGTGAATCTCTGAGAGAACTATTTAAAACGATAAATATCCTAACGGTACCTTGTCAGTTTATATATGAAAATATTATGTACGTAAGGAAAAATTTGCAATTATTTGAAAAAAGAAGCGATAGACACAATTTTAATACTAGAGGCAAAGATAGGCTGGCTGTGCCACGATTCCGTCTGTCCAAAATACAGAAATCCTTTATGGGGTTCTGTGTAAATTGTTACAATAAAATTCCAAGAAGTGTATTAAATCTTAATGAACGAAAATTTAAAACTTATATTCAACGCGAATTATGTAGACAGGCTTACTACAAACTTTCAGATTATATTGAGGATAAGAATGCCTGGCAGCATGTTGGTTCGGCTCCACTGGACAATACTCACATATGTAGTCAGTAGTTATTAAAATTCTTAAAATTAATGAAACCTTGAATGAGTTTATTTATATAGAAGCATTCTTTTGGATTGTGAGTACGCATATGTGAGCGCCATGTTCGAGACTACAAAGAATTAAAATTTTAATGATAGATTAGATAGACCATCATTTGTTCCTTTTTATCAACAACTTGTCTCTGCATTGTTCTCACATAGGGGTACAGTAATGTATAAAAAATGTATTATTGGTGAATTGTAAAACAAATATTTTTTTAAAAAGAGTAACGATGGAGTTTCTTGCTCGTTCTTCTCCATTCGAAACTACAATTTGGAATGAGCCCTAGCTTCACTGACGAACAGACTGACAGACTACTATTCTATTTTGACGTTTTCAAAAGTACCTATTTATGGTTTAGTTGGAATAAATGATTTTGATTTGATTTGATTTAAACATTTTTATTGTATCTAGGTATTGTTGTTTTAGAAAAATATTTACATCCTGATGCTTATCAACATTTTCAACAACTATTTTGCGCAGTTACCATATGCTCCACTGAAGCCTATGCTCACCTACTCTACTTAGCATTGCTGAATCGTTATTTAATTCATATATTGAATACTACAGAGAGATTTATAGAGAAGGCCATATGACCAGTAATGTCCATAACCTATGCCACGTAGTAGAGGAGGTAAGGAGATTCGGGATATTATCTTCATTCGATGCCTATCCTTTTGAGAATACTTTGCATCATAAGCGACTACTGAGGAGTGGCCATAAACCTCTACAGCAGGCTGCGAAAAGATTAATCGAAAAGACTAATATTTCAACTTACGGAAATTGAAGAGGTCCCTCACATAAACTAACAAACATAAAGACAAAGATTAAAAGATTTGAAAAGTTTGATTAGAAAGCAATAAATCAGAAATACACTTTTACAAAACGATTGAACTTGAGAAATATTCAGTAAGCAATGATGGTATCAATTGTTGTTTTCTTACTAATAATGATATTATTGTCAAGCTGCACAGTGTAGTTAAATCAACATTATTATTTGTATGGAACACAATAAATCTATTTAAACATATAAATACTGGCTCTTTGTGGTATTTGTAGCACCGAAAAATAACATAAACGCAAAAACACCTTCTTCTTATGCCAGTCTGATAAACTCTGGTAGATAATTACGAGAAAAAATAGTTTATAAATATTCCATTTTACAGATTACCATAGCATCGTTATAAGAACAATTCTACTCTTAAAAGATTAATTCTTCTGATGAAAGTGCAAGTTGACTTGTCATGCTCTTAAAATGACCTTTTAGGAGTAAATCATCTAATCAAAACTTATTTATAGATAATTTAATCTAGACGCCATTTTTATTAATAGAACACGACGGTAATCGCCACTTTGGTAAAAATTAGAAATTTTGTTAACAATAAAATATGATATTTCTTCATTTCTAAACATAAAAATACTTAAATAAATTAAATTTTAATTAAAATATATTGTTTGCGTATTTATTTTAACAAAGTATAAAAAAATGAACACCAATAATATTGTTTATTATAAAATTATCAGTTAAATTATACGAATATACTAGGCCCGTAAGTTTTTTGAAACTCTTTCATCGACTTTTACGATAAAATTAATTTGGCACTGAATTTACACCCTCCGTTCGCGCGAAACAAAATTTAGAAGATCAAGAAAAAATATATATTAAATTTCATTTCGCCATTAAAGCTACAACTTAAAATATTTTTAAGTACGGAGTGCCATTAGAAAATAGGAAATGCTTTTTAAAAGAAGTAACTCTTGTTGATATTTTTATTTAGTAGATTTTGATTATTAGTGGTTTTAAAAAAATTCACCACTAGAACATCAGTAGAGTCATGGTGTTATCTTAATGCTGGCTACAAAACTTAATTTCTTTCTTATGTGTCTCTTATTGTGTTCTTAAGGTAGTTTTGTAGATATTCCCTATAGATAAAAATGAATTGCTCTTATCGTTATCTAATGATGAATTCTTATGCTGCTCTTGTTATTATAGTATAGACAGTTGCCCATTTTTACTGAACTCGGTATATAGGATATCTTCAGGGATTATTTACTCTTATGCAAGAATTCTAAGTTTAATTCTATAAAATATCTAATAGTGCTTCACTAGATATACTTGTGCTACTTGGGTACATTACTTTCAATAAATCCTACAAACAATTTAGGTAGAACCAATCCGAAAGTTTTAGCTTTTCAGTTGAGATTGCGGATGCAAGCGCAGGCTCGAAGCAAAAACAGGAACGGGATGACTTTTAGTTAGTAAAAGTATGACAGATCACCATGATATTTCCCACCTTAAAAGCAATCTTTTGAAAAACCTCAAGACAAAAACCAACCTGCAAAATCTTCTGCACGCCTCTAGCGACTCCGTAGTGCTCAGGTCCAATGATATTAGGGTCCATGACCCTTGAAGTGGAATCCAAAGGATCTACTGCAGGGTACACTCCTAGTTCCGCGATAGCACGAGACAGTACCGTGGTAGCGTCCAAATGGGCGAAGGTTGTAGCTGGAGCGGGATCTGTCAGGTCATCCGCTGGTACGTATACTGCCTTTTGGAAAAAAAATAATTTTACTTGTATTTTTCTTTTAACTATACCTGCTAGGGATAATCACTAAGGAGACTCTGATTGAAAATGAGCGACCAGAGTTTCTTGCTCGTTCTTATTGGAATCTTTACTTCGGAACGTGCAAATAGCTTCAGTAAAACGACCGACCAACACGACACCAACGACTGGCATTTTTATCTTAAAATATTTATTTGACTTCCAAAAGTAACCTAAATTGTCTTATTGAAATAAATTGACTTTTTAAACAACAAATCGAACCATAACTAGATCTATGTGTCAATCAGCACAAGTAAGTAGTCTCCATACGGGGCAACCTTTGAGGTATATATCGGCTCCTTAAAACTAGGTATGCAAACCAAACCAGGAAGAGCCCTAGCTTCGCAAACGGACTATTATTCATCAGTATATGTTTCATCATCGTCAGCCTATTAGCGCCCACTGCTGAGCAAAGGCCTCTTCTCACACGGAGAAGGCTTAAACACTAATCACCACGCTTGCTCAATGCGGGTTGGCGATTTCAGACTTATAATTATAAATTATAAGTCCAGGTTTCCTCACGATGTTTACCTTCACCGTAGTCAGTGGTGTCTAAATAATCATAGAAAGTACATATAACTTGGAAAAAGTCACATTGGTACTTTGCCAGGTTTCGAACATACACCCTCATGCGTGAGAAGCGGGCGCCTTAACCTCCGTGTCACCACGACAGTATATGTTTAGTTGTAATAAATGTTTTAAACTTTGACTTTGGGCTTTGTGGGGCTAAGACAGGGCTAAGGCTAAAACTTTTTTTAGAAAGAACAGTCTCTGAAACTCCTAAGTACCAGAATCAAAAGTAAACTATGAAAACACCGGAACACTGAGTCTGGCGCGTCAAAGGAACACGAATGACCGTCTCGGATCCCGCGGCGAAATAAATCAGAAGATATTATTTGAGGAGAAAAAAAAACCAAATAGTTAACACTTCCCTCGGTTAATTTAAATGCGGGAGACAGAATGACTTTCTTGACTTAACACTTATGGCAAAAAATTATGTAGGAATTCGAAAAATGACGCCAACCTGTACGCTGGTTATGGAGCCACTCTTCGTAGTGGTGATCCTCTCCTGCATCGTTCCCATGTCGGTAGCCAACGTCGGCTGGTAGCCCACGGCTGATGGAATACGGCCCAGCAAGGCCGATACCTGTGTTTAGACTGAAGGTTAATACCAGTTCTACAGTTTGCATAAAAAGACGTGTATAAGACTTAACCTAACTTTGGAGAAAAAGGCATCCAAATTAGCCGTGACCACGGGAGATAATTTTTTTGTGAGAGAAAATCTCTCGCCCAAGGAGAAACGAGAGGGAGTGTCAGACTTTTACCGACTTAAACCGACGTTCCTTCTCCTGCTTTAGGCCGAGGCCGCGGTGCCTCATTGCGCTTACCCCGCAACCCCGTCTGGACATTGACGCTGTGGGGTCTATTGGCTATTTGAGTCGTACGCTCGAGTTTGGTTCTTGTCGGGCGCCTAGCTATCCTCGCTCGCCACAAGACACACAGAGGGCAACAACACAAGACATGTATGATTTTGAACTCGGCTCAGAAAAAATCTTTATGCGGTCTACAAAATATTTGCTCTAGGTTAAGGGGCGCACCGGAGAAAATCCTAGCGTAGGGCTAAAAAATCCTTTTATTTTCTCCATCTTAACTATCCAAACTCACCTCAGACCCAGCCTGTGTAAACCGGAATATATTATCGATAAACAGCAACACGTCCTGTCCCTCTTTGTCTCTGAAGTGTTCGGCTACTGTAAGCCCAGTGAGGGCCACGCGAGCCCTCGCGCCTGGCGGCTCGTTCATCTGCCCGTATACTAGCGCCACCTGTATTTAAAGAACGAAACTTTGTGTATTCCTGGGCCTTCTTATGAGACTTACAGCTGTCGAAAAGAAGGTATTACTATTAAAAACTAAATTAGAAGCGTGGGATACCATGCTGCGGCACAAACTCGACCTGAGTGATACCGCGGCCTCACAGAAAAATGGCGTGAAATAACCACAACGTTATGTTTCGCCGTGTGAGTGTGGTTACCGGAGGCCCAATCCTTCTTTCCTTCCCCAATCCCTAAATCTCCCAAACACTTATCCCAAAAGAAGACCGCAAAGCTCTCGTTATATCACCGGTGATGCGGGGTCTTTGGGTGGTGCCGATTGCTTACCATCTGGTAATACTTCCTTGTTGCCGATTTATGACATAAAAATAATAACTTGATTACCTTGGACGTTTTATAATCATCTTTAATAACTCCACCTATCTTCATTTCGTTGTACAGATCATTCCCTTCTCGCGTTCTCTCGCCGACACCAGCGAATACCTGGACAGTTTAATATGATGCCATTGAGAAAAATCCCTACCCTAACCCCACCTTACAGAGTGACTAAGGGCATTTTACAATAGTCTCTACAGAAACTGGACTGCCTCGCCACCAGACCCAGACCTGAAAGAGAACGTTGCGTTCCACATACGCCTCAATAACTATCCTCCACATACATATTTTGTCGAGCCGGATTAATGTTGGTGCAACAACAATGGTATGCCACGACTCTGCTTAGAGCAGGAGAAGGAATGGGGTGGTTTTTAGTCAGTAGAAGTCAGACAACTGGACGGCACTCCGAGCGTCAGGAATTGAGCAAAGAGCCACCATAAGCGCGGGTCTGCGGACGGAGAGCAAGGGTGGTTCGCTGCTCGACCATAACCAGACCCGAGCGTAAGGCATGTAGCATTCCGCGCGCGCCCCAAAAATTTAATAAACCCATACAAGCGGGGCTTTGTCAGTATGTGGCTGACACACTCTGTCCTTTTCCCTCCCTGGTTGACAGAAGCCATGTGATGAATTCGTTCTCACAAAAAAGAGACTCTCACCCCATCCAAAACAATACCATTAATTAAATGTATTTCGCCCCTAAAAAGGCAGGACGAATATCTGATGGACGAGTATTTGAGTAATCCTTTAAGTATTCGGTTCTTACGAACTTGAAGACAAAAGATGGTGACAATTTCTTTTCTGCTGCCACCAAACAGCGATGCAGAAGGTATTATGGTAAGTAGTAGAACTTACAGAGAAACCGCCGTGAGCTTTGGCAACGTTGTTTATAAGCTCCATGATAAGTACAGTCTTCCCGACTCCAGCGCCTCCGAAAAGACCAATCTTGCCACCTGTAATTTATAGAAATGCTTCAAAAATAGGAAAAGTATTTTTTTTTGCCAAGCATTCTGATGGTCATTTTGATATTCATCATTGAAATCATCATCATCAGCAGCCGGAAAACGTCCACTGCTGGACAAAGGCCTCCCCCTTAGCCCTGCATCCATTTTTATATTACACATGGAAAAAATCTTTTTATGGGATAGTTCGGCAAACAAGCATACGGAGCACATGATGGTAAGCAATCGGGGTCGCCCATGAACATTCGTAACAACAACAAAGTTACAAATGCTTTGTGAGCTTTTTGTGGGTTATTAGAGATTTAAACATAGGTATTTGGGAATTGACGATGGGAGAAAGGAGATGGAGAAATTTTTAACCTTAGTTGACCTCACACGGCGCCTACGCAAGCTCTGTTACACTACACTCCACTTTTTTTTTAAACCATGATAAAGTTGAGTTTAAGATGAGCCATTTGCTCGAAGCATATCATTTAATGGTTAGGTTTGGCGTAAATTACTGATTGACTGGTTTCTATGTAACATGTCACAGGATCGCTTCAACAGAGAACACTTATTTTGTTTCTTAACGTGTAATTGTGAGACTTAAACTCTCGGTTCTGTAGCAATTCTTCAATGATATCTTCTGATTTAGTTCGCTGCAGTACGAGGATCCAAGAAGACAGTGAATCGTGTTCCTGGGACGCACCGCGCTTCAGTATTCCCGTGTTTTCATAATTATATTTACTGTAAATACTGACTTACAGGAGTTGCAGCGGTTTTAGGAAAATGGTGGTCTAGTCCCATTACAAAAGGGCAATTTGTTTGTGAACCATCAACTCACCTTTGACGTACGGAGCCAGTAGATCCACAACCTTGATTCCTGTTGCCAGAATCTCCTGTTCGACTGACATCTCCACGAAGGGAGGAGCGTCTGCGTGTATCGCTGCAAACTCATCCGTGTCTATTGGACCACGCTCATCTGAAATGAGAGAAATAAATACATATATTATACGGTTTTAAGCGTGGGAGAGCCATGCTTCGGCACGAAAAGACCGGGTCGAGGGAAGTGATACCACGGGCTTACATAAAACTGGCGTGAAGCAACTACGTTGTGATTATCCGTGTAGATAAGGTCCTGGAGGACGAAAGGCGAAACACGACGCTGTGGTAGTTTCACGCCTGTTTTCTGTGAGTCTGTGGTATCACTCCGGTCGAGCTGACTCCTTCGAGCCGAAGCATGGCTCTCCCACACTAAATTCAATCATTAATCCCTCAACTAAAACAAAATCTTACCAATAGGTTCGCCAATAACGTTAATGATACGACCAAGGGTCTTCTCACCAACCGGAATGGTGATAGGCGCCCCCGTGTCCACTATAGCCTGACCCCTGACCAGGCCTTCGGTACCGTCCATGGCGATGCATCTACAAGCACTTTCTCCAAGATGTTGGGAGACTTCTAGGATGAGACGAGGAGCTGTAAGGAATTGATGGAGATATAATAAATTTCTTTTTGATAAGGCTGCGCCACTTCATTCTTGAAGGGTGACGCTAAACTTTTACATCCTTGGTATTATCGGCCAAAATATAGCATACTCCTGAAAGATCAGCAAACGCTCTGATAGTGTGATCCGTCCGTGATTGTAAGCAATCTCTACCACCCATGAACACCCGTACCACAAAGGAGTTAGATGCGTTGTTAGGACCGTGGAACTTCGTAAGGGGGACGGACGGTAATCACAACACCAACGTTGGTTTACGTAGGTTTCCTATGAGGCCGACGCTTTCCCACAAAACGTTCTCTTCGTAACAAAAAAGGGGTTAACCATAACTCTAAAGCTCGTCAGCCAACTGAAAGTCCGCAATAAGATCACTAAAAACTTAGAGGATACTGCTACCTGCTTCTTGACAGCTGGTGACGTCTTATGCCCGGTTCCTATATTTAACGAATCGTCGTTGTATACGCATTACGACCAAATGACATTACGAATAGTTATCTTGACCGTCTACTGACGGTTAAAATATTTATAGGAACACCACAGACACCATAGATCTCCATACAATTCGCTTACCGACATCCGTTAGTTGCAAACCGTCAGTAAGTTGCACGACGAGACGTTTGTTATAGGAACGGTTTTAGCTTACGAGTCGTATATAAAACTACTATTCGTAACTAAAACGGATCGTTTCTCAATTATAGGAACCGGGCATGAGTGTATAAACATATGAGCAAAATAGCCTCCAGTCCAGATCAGAACCAATAAGGAGTGGAATTCTTTGCCGGACTCTGTTTTCCCAGAAGGGTAAGACCTGAATGTTTTTAAGGCCCAAGTAAATAGGTTGCTTATGGGTAGGCTTGCTCCATCTTAGGTCGCATCATCGCTCACCACCAGGCGTAATACAGAATGTACAGATGGAATACTCACTTCGCCCTGGTACCTCCAAAGCGTTCAGGATCGGAGGGAGATGCGTGTCGAACTGGACATCCACTACAGCGCCAATCACTAGGATATGAAGAAAAGATAAGTTTTTATAAAAAATACCAGATTTTCGAGGGGCCTGCTTTACCAGCCCCATATGAATATATTCGAGAAACTTTTGGCATATATGTACATATACGCCATTAGCCTATATGTGTCCACTGCTGAGCAAAGACCTCTTCTCACACGGAGAAAGTTTGACCATTAATCACCACGCTTGCGCAGGGTGGATTGGTGATTTACGACAAACATATAATTAGAAATTATTTAGGTTTCCTGACGTTTTTTTTTTACTTTAGGTCAGTGGTGTCCAATTAATCATAGAAAGTAGGTACTTAACATAACGGGTGCCTTAACCTCCGGGCCACCACTTATAGGCTGATGATGTGCATTCTACTGTTCTTCTACAGAATACTTGCGATCCGAATTTGGCAACATAAGATCCGTCATAGCGTTGGTCCGAATTCTTTCTGAGTTTTCTAGATCTGTGTTTTCACATATTCGGATCGGACTTAGACTTAGTGTGGAAGTGTTGGAAATGTCAAGTATAATTTTGTTATTTTTTTATTTAATAAACTAGTGCGCCTTACCATCAACGATTGCATCACTGCTTACCATCAGGTGGGATCGTTTAATGTGAATTTGTGCAATGAAATTATAAAGTTTTTCGTTTTACACCAATAAATAAGTAGTAAAACTGATAGGAATCTCCCAAAAGTAAATTCCAGTAAATTCTAGGACCTACAAAAAAAAAAAGAAAACAAAAATAGATGACTATTGAATGTGTATATTGATTTTAAGAATCTATCGTTTTACATGACCAGTTGTAATGAAAAGCTTCACTGACCGGCGATTATTCGACCTTGGGCACCACCTCCGGCGACGACGGCGGGTTTTTTAGGACCAGCAGCACTCATTGCTGGACCAGATGCAGCCTTTTCGGTAGCTGCAGAGGACGCTTTTGTAACGACAGGGGTCGCTTTTGGAGCGGCAGGGGTCGCTTTTGGAGCTGCAGGGGTTGCTTTTGCAGCGGAACAGGACTCTTTTCCAGCTGAAGGGGGCGTCTTTGGAGTTTTAGAAGAATTGGAGTCAAATCTCACAAACAGCTTGATATTGCTTCTCCGTTTTTTAATTTTAGATTCAACGAGAGCGCAAGTTGAGAACTGGGGAAAAGAAATTATGTGTTTTAAATCTTCATTTTTGCCAAAAAAAACATGCTTCTAAGTGTCTTCTGTTTCGTTCCTTGATGTTGAAATCCTGGAAGGGAAAATATGTGTTAGTATGCAAATCATTTGAGCTAAAATTTACATCTTTGTTGCTTGGACAAATAATTAAGTAGCTAGTACTTTGTTTAGACACTTTATTAATGTCTGAGAACGATGAGTAGCCTATCTCAGATAATGACAAGTGCGAAAGCCATTCTTGCAGAGTGCTACCATGGCCTTACAGAATAAAGGGGTGAAATAACAGTACCTAACGTTGTATTTCGCTGAATTAGTGAGGTTACTGGGTGCTCAAAGCTTGCTTCCCCCCCCCCCCTCCCAAAGTCCTCGAATTCCAAATCTTCTATTCCTAAATTCGTGTCAACCCGGCAAAAGGCTGGCAACGCACTTTTAACTCTTTTTTCGTATGTCTTTGGGAGGTGCCAATGGCTTACCACCAGGTAATCCGTCTTCTCATTCGCTGACCTTTACAAATAATAATACTCATTCTTTTCTTCGTTAGAAAAGAACTGCAAAACATGTAACCCAAGTTGAGAAAATTTTAGTGTGGGAGAGCCATGCATGGCCTCACGAAAAACCGACGTGAAAAAACCACAGCTTTGTGTTTCGTCGTGTAAGTGAGGTTACCGGAGGCTAATTCTTACCCTCCCCCAATTCCAAAACCTCCAAATTCCTAATCCCTAAAAGATAGGCAATGCACTCGTTACTTCTCCGTTGTTGCGTGTGTCCATTGGGCGGCGCTGATTGCTTACCATCACATGAAAAACACCTATTATTCAGAGAAAAATAACAGTAGAAACTCACCGTTGTACTCCGGCATCCGTATCCAGACAAGTGGGACAGTGAATCAAAAATCTATTGTCAAAATTGCCAGACAAATTATTGTCTGACTGGATCCTATATGCTAAATTAAAGAACTGGGAAGTAGGCAATCTGCAGACACGAGACACTAATTCTGGAAAAGTTATTAAACCAATTCTACGGAAAAATAATCATAATTTTTTTTGGCTGGCTACATGCTAAGTATTCTGTTTTTAGGGAAAAAAGGTTTATTAAAATTTGCTAATGAAAATCAGTGGGTTTTCGATTTTATAATATGGACAACGCAGCGCGAGTTTCCACACAAAAAATCATAGAAACTGCTATATCGATTTTATGCCAATTATCAGTATCTAAAGAATAGTTTTGAGAGATACTTATAATAAGCAATTTTAAATCCATTCAAATTTAAAATCGCGTATAAATTCTTAATTGAAAAAGACTTCCAAAATTTACTCCACCTAGACTATGATTTTCGACATTGCAATTTTTATGAACGCTCGCGCTGCATACACGCTTTAAGATCAAACAACCAAAAACTTACTTTCTTCGAATGTTGAATATTCCAACCGGACCCCAGTGTCAACATGGGCTGTGTATATCTAGGTTGGTTGGCCCAGGTTTGCATATAAATCACCCTGTCTTTATCAAGGACGCGTAGAGGAACGCCCATTACTGGTCTTCTAGGTTGAGCAGTTATAGGTCTCGGCTCTCGATCGTCAAACTCGAATGGCGATGGTGCTTGTGATAAAGTCTTCGATATTTTGTCATATTTGATGCTGGTAGGTTTTCTCACCGACGGGGATGATATGCAAGGCGGTAGGTTTCTGATAAAATCCCTTGTTGGCATCGTTGATACGTGGGACCATTGAAAGTGGCTCACTGAAAATTTAATAGATGTATATTAATAGTTGTGGAAAGTTTGTACGTAGGGGGTAATCTTTGGAACCGCTGGTCGGATTTCCAAAATTCTTTTACTGATAGATAGCTACTATGCACTTGTGTTGCGTATTGTAGTCGAGTTAACTCTTTAAACAATGTTGTTTTTAAAATTTCTTGATATAAGTACATCACTTTTATATGCGTTCGAAACTGGGATATAAGTCTGTCTTAATAGATATTGTACTAAGAGACTCATTGCGTGTCAGTTTTAAAAACCCCCACCCCAAAAAGTTAACCTATTATGGGAAAATATTAAAAATGCTAAACCCTAAAGCAAAAAATCTTGCTAGTAAACTAACAACCGGTTTCTGAAAGGCTTGTCAACGTTAAAATTAACTAATCTCCTGTTAAATCTCTTGTCAAGTCATCAGATTGTTTGTTGATAATTCAGTCAAGCAATCAGATGACTTGACCAGAGATTAAATTGATTTTAACATTGATCGGCCTTTCGGAAACCGGTTATAAGTGTATAACATTCCTATCACAGCTAACAAACGACCTTATAACCTTGAAAATCTGAACCGATTTCCACCAAACATGGCCAAGAATACCTTCGACTGATATACATTTCAAAATAAACCGCATTAAAATCGGATCCCCCGTTTGAGAGCTACGATGCCACACACACACAGACACGTTAAACTTATAACACCCCTTTGTTTTTGCGTCGGGGTTAAAAAAGCGCGAAACTGAGTTCTGTAGAAGGTCTAACCAGCTGGTTTGGTCGTGAGAGGCCTATTTTCAGTTGAGGCTTTTTAGGCTTCCTTTATCTTTTGCCCGCCACTTTGTTCGCGTGGAATTTCTGCAGATTTTTGGTAAAAAAAACTATCCTATGTCCTTTCTCGAGTTCCAAACTACTTATGTCTGTCAAATTCCACACAAATAGATTCACACACAAGTAGTTAAGGCGTGAAGAAAAGACTACATAGGGTTTAATCATAAACTGTTTATGCCATCCTCATCGGAATAAACAAATCATTCTTACGGTCTAAAACCTATCTTAACTAATTTATATAAGTTTTTTTGCATCCTTTGATAGAGGAGACGCAAGAATACTGTTTTGCTTTTGCAAACATCCATTGAGGTTGGTATTATTTAATTACTTTAGAATATGATATTGTGTCTACCACTGTATTATACCTACCACTGACAGAGTTACTTTCGCATTTATAATATTAGTTTGGATGATTATTTACATAATAATTATTAGTGAAACACTTACATCCGTTGCCATAAATACTAGCCAGGTGGAGTTTCGGTAGTTTTTGCATTTTTATTATCTTTATTACCTAATTGATCATAATATTTTTTATGTGTGGCCGGAGTAAGTGGGGCCTACTTCCCAGATCTAATAGATTTGCTCAATTATAATAAGTTTTATTAGAGAAGCCGACCAATAAAACTAAGTGACAAAAATGACAAATTTCAAATGTTTTCTTTTTTGGTTTTGGTAGTACCTGTCTATAGGTGTTTATTTTTTATTTGTTTTGACAGTTGTCAGTTTTTAAAAGAGATTTTATTGTGTAGGTTTTTATTTATTACGTCCTATTCCATGTTATATAAATATTAGCGGATCCTCTCCAAAATCTCCCATCAAATGCAGAGAAATCGTTAGGGCCGTTTCCGAGATTACACGCTTTTTCAAGCAATCTAAACCACCCAGGGCGCCACTCAAACACATACAGAAAAAAACATTTATATCGGTGAAGCCGTAGGAGGAGTTCAATGACATAGAAAGAAAGAAAGAAGAAAGAAAAGACATTTATTCAGCACTAGGCACGATGCAGCATATAAAAAGACAATAAAAGTGTGACAGTAGAAGTAAGTTAAACATGAGTTAAAGATTAAAACAGATGAAACAGAAAATAGACGCTACAACATGCCCATGCTAAATGGGTTAACCACTCAGTGTAAGCTAGGCATACAAGTCGCCCAGCACAGATTTTCATTGGGCACCCCTGCAGTGACGCACATACACACGTACAGCATAATTATATTATATATTTGACACATGAGGACACGGCGGCGACCTCTCCCGCCCGGCCATAGGTGAGGCCATGGTGCGTAGCGAGAGAAACTGGGAAGCCACCTCCCCTGTAAAGCAGTTATGCTCGCAAAGAGCGGAGGCTGAGCGCGTGAGGAAGCTATCCTCCTCCTCCTCACGCCCTCGTCGTCGGGCGTCGGGGGTCGAGAGACGATCTCCGGCCACCATAAGCGCGGGTCTGCGGAAGGCGAGTAAGGGCAGACTAGAACCACAGACGGGGCGCTACAGGGTTGATGTTGAGCCGGCGGCGCGGGGTATACGCAATGAGTCACCGCGGCCTCAGCCTAAAGCAGGAGAAGGAACGGGGGGACTTTTAGTCAGTAAGAGTCTGACACTTTCTCTCGCCTTACCCTGGGCGGGAAAGGTCATTTGATGATTTTCCGCTGACAAAAACAAAAGGTAAATCAAGAGAGACTAAGTCAGTCATAAAAAAAACCCAAATTGAAAAGCCAAATTTCAACCGACTTATCTTATAAAAAAACTTGTGATGTTATGTTTTAAAAAAAATACACCATGGATTTACTTGCCCTATGGGAACAGTTTCGTAGCTATTCATTCACCTATGGCCGCTGACAGGGCGTTTATGTAAACCGTAGGGCGAAGGGGTTAATTGTTGCCACCAGGTGGCGCTTCCCACGACCATCATTAGCTCCTGTTATAAGCCCACTGGTTTGAATCAAACGCGCAAAACTTTTTAACTAAAATAAAACATGCTTGGATGGTTTTAAACTAAGAAGCTTTTTTCAGAATAACACCAGTACCTGACGTTAAGCAATCAGCGCCGCCCATGGATTCCCGTAAAAACGGAGGAGTTACGACTAAGTTGCCGACCTTTAAGGGATTAGGGATTGTGGGATGAGAAGGAGGGGTCTCCGGCAAACTCATTTACACGGCGAAACACAAGACTGCATGTGGTTGTTTCACGCCCGTTTTCTGGTATGACTCCGGTCGAGCTGACATATTCGTGCAGAGGTATGGATCACCTACACTTAGACCTGTTGTGGTGACGTTAAGTAATGAGTCTCGCTTCTCATGCACGAGGGTCAGGAACTTGGTAAGTATTAAACTGATATCTTCCGAGTTATGTACCTACTTTCTAAGTTAATTTAGACACCACTGACAAACGGTGAAGGAAAACATCGTGAAGAGTCGAAACTTTAAATTTTTAGGAGGACAATTTATCAATTACGTACTTCTCTCTCCCAGAAGGAGGCAAGAGGGAGTGTTAGAATATTTCTGGCTAAAAACTACATCGTTTCTGCTAATAATCTAGGCCGGAGCCGTGGCACCTTATTGGCTCTTTGAGGCGCGCGCGGAAAGCTACGCGCCGTACGTTCGGGTCTGGTTCAAGTCGAGTGGCAATCTACCCTACGATACCTGGACTTATACATTACTTTGCCCGCGACTTTATTCGCGTGGAAAAGTGACTTCCTGCATATTTTAGGTTAAAAAACTATCCTATGTCCTTTCTCGAGTTCCAAACTATGTCTCTACCAAATTTCACAGAAATTGTTTCAGTAGTTTAGGCGTGAAGAAAAGACAGACAGACAGACAGAGATGGATTTGAATTTAATTTCTGATTACTCCACCGTTTAATATATGTAAATAATGTTATATGTTACATATAAACCTTCATCTATACTTCTATACTAATATTATAAAGAGGTAAAATTTGTTAGTTTGTATGTAGGGGGTAATCTTTGGAACTGCTGGTCGGATTTCCAGAATTCTTTCACTGATAGATAGCTACAATGCTCCTGAGGGCTATAGGCTATAAAACATCACGCTACGATTAAATGGAGCCGCGCAAGAGAAGCTAGTAGAGGATATAACCAAATCGTCATTGTAAATCTTCCTCTTCAATCACTTTATCTATTAAAAAAACCGCATCAAAATCCGTTGCGTAGTTTTAAAGATTTAAGCGTACATAGGGATATAGGGACAGAGAAAGCGACTTTGTGTTATGCTATGTAGTGATTGATGCGTCAAATTTGTACTAGTCAAGCTATAGCCACCTTCGCTCGAGGAGTTATTAGTCCATTATTTGATGTTAGACCTTCGACCATTTTTGTATGAACAGGGAAATCTGTGAAGTTGCTTAGTTTGACCTTTCATCGGTAGGTACTGTCAAGTACTTTAATAGTGAATTAGTTGATTACAAGATTTTCGAATGCGACTTACGTTGTTTTTCGTCCTGAGTTTACTGGAGGCCCAATCCCCCCCATCACTCTTCATCCCTCAAATCCTCTCCTTAAATCCCTAATAACCCAAACTTCTAACTCTCACACACTTAATTAGTTGTGTGAGAGCCATACTTCGGCACGAATGGGTCGGCTCGACCGGAGTGATACCACAGCCTCACAGAAAACCGGCGTGAAACAACCACAGCGTTGTGTTTCGCCGTGTGTGTGAGGTTACCGGAGGACCGGAGGTCCAATCGTTCCTTTCCCCTAATCCCTAAATCTCCAAATCCCCTATCCGTAAGGTCGGCAACGCACTCGTAATTCTCTGGTGTCCATGGACGGCGCTGATTGCTTACCATCAAGTAACCCGTTTGGTCATTTGCCGACCTATCACATACAAAAAAAACTAGGGCCCGACAACGCACTCGGAGTTGGTCTATCAAGAGGTTCCGGTGTCCATTATAGGTGATGATGGTGGCCACTGTGGAGGTAAAAAACCCACTTTTTCCCCAAAAGCTAGGCACCTCTTGCAGCATTCGCCACGTTAACAAAAAAAAAGTCCGGCAACGCACTTGTAGTAACTCCTTTGGTACGACGAGTGTCCATGGGCGGCGCTGATTGCTTACCATCAGGTAATCAGGTTGACCTTAAAAAAAAATTCAACTAAGTAGTCTCCACGCTATGTTCTGTGCAGGTTACTCGGTCGTTCATAACGTGTACGCTAGCGACGCCGTAAGCATCAATTATAACACCACGCGCCATATTGCTTTTAAATGGCGCTTTATAGTTGACATTTCGGTTACTATTCGAATTTGTTTGTTTAACACAGAAAACCGGCGTGAAACAACCACAGCGTTGTGTTTCGCCGTGTGAGTGAGGTCGGAGGCCCAATCCTTCCCCTCCCCAAATCCCTTCTCAATCCCTAAATCTCCAAACCCCTAATCCCTAAAAGGTCGGCAACGCACTCGTAACTCCTCCGTTGCGAGTGTCCATGGGCGGCGCTGATTGCTTACTTTGCCAGACTTCGTGGCAAGGTAAATAATGAGACTGTAGATGGTTAAGGTCTGTTTATTACTTTAATTGCTGGTGCTTATATACTAAGAAGATGCGTGAGATTTTCAGATTTAGCTATCCTAACAAACGTGCAACAATTAACATGTGTGTCTTATCTCTATCGTATCTAAGTAATGTAGCGACGTGATCGTGCCGCTACATATACTCCCCCCTTTTAAAAATAATTAACATATAAATTGAAAAAAATTAGTATGTACCTAATTATATAATAACTTAACCTTGCTGATAAATTACATCCTATGCGTAATGTAATGTCATTGTTGCTAATTCGAAGGAAATAAAAACTGCTGCCTTTGTTGTGACGGCGGCGGCAGTCGATGAACTATCCACTGCATTTGTGCTGATTGTTTCTGCTGATTGAAAATTTTAAATTCTTGTTATTACGAAGTCGTAATAATTCTTGGTCATCATGCTGACATCTTGCTAAATCAGCATAATTAATCGGTGATGGCACATCAATTTGTTCTATCCGTGACAATGCGTCTGCTACAATATTGTCACGTCCTTCTATATGTTGAATGTTGGTACAATATTGTGAAATAAAATCCAGTTGTCGTATTCGCCGTGGCGTATCATTAGATGACGGTTTTTGGGAAAATGCGTAAGTCAAAGGTCGATGATCTGTAAAGATAGTAAATTCTCTTCCTTCGACTAACCTTTGAAAATGTTTGACTGCCATATATATTCCGAGCAACTCTCTGTCGAATGTCGAGTATTTTTGTTGAGTAATGCGTGGATTCGTCTCAATGTTAATAGTGCGGATTGTTTGCTGCGTCGATTTGATCAGGGTTGCGGGCGTTGTCAGCTCAGTTACCCTATCTATGAGTTTTCGACCAGCTATATCGACTAATAGCTTATAATGCTCTAAAAAATCTGCTCCAATAATCGGTTGTGTTACATCGGCGATGACAAAGTTCCATACAAAGTTTCTTCGTAGCCCGAAGTTTAAAGAGAGTGTTTTTTCACCATA